AATCATGCCCGCCATTGAAAGAATGGACTTTTCAATTAATTTTCTTATGATTATCTACCACTTATTTTATAATTATGATTATAAACCACTTTATATCATCAATATTTTATTACTACACACAGACAATCAATAGTTTTGAAACTGTTTCATATATGCAGAATCACTCGCCTATCGTAATTCAAATTAAAAATTTTTAAACGTGTAATGGCAACGGAAATTTCTATTAGCAAAACCTGGCTGATGAAGCTGATTAGGTGCGCTACTAATTCGATGTTTATTTAAAGGTGAAGAAGTTTGCAGTGTATTAACATTAACGGCCGCAAGAGATTTCAAGGACGTAATACTGTGCAACTTTTCCTTGATAGCCGAAAAACATTTAATAATGCTTAAAAAAAGAAGATTTATATTTCAACTAGCATATACCCGCTACTTCGTCAGCGAATGTGGGAAGTATTTAAAACCCAATACCAACCAATATTAACACTTTTAAAACCGTTTGGTACCAATGTTCTCTTATAGTACTCAACCCTACACACAAATTCTGACCGCAAAATAAATCAAGCACTATACAAAATTTTGTGTCATTTAGTTAAATTTCCAAATTTCAAATATAGCGTCACCCAAATCCAAATTAAGTACCAGTTAGTAAACATAAATATATAAATTGTCATAACTTCCTACATTAACATACGAATTTCCAACACTTCCCACATACCCCAATCTTAATTTCAAATTTCATGATTCTATCGGTTCGCCTAAATCCAATTTGTTTCAAATTTAGTGCCATTTAATACACATAGGTACAAATTTGCATTACTACCTACATCATGCAATCCAATGAAAACCTTATTACTCAATTTCAAGATTTCAGCTCTATCGGTTAACTTTTAATCCAAACTGTGCCAAATCTAGTGCCATTTAGTACACATTTCCAAAACTTCCTACATACCCCATTCGAACCCCCCAACAGTGATCCTAACCACCATTTGGTACCATTTAGTAAACATTATTACGAATGTCCAAAACTTTCTACATAGCTCAATACTACACCCCGACAGTGATCCTAACTTCAAATTTCAAGATTCTAGCTCTGTCGGTTTACTCAAATCCACATTTGGTACTATTTTGAAACTGTAACCCTAACTCCAAATTTCAGGATTCCAGCTGCATTGGTGCACCAAAAATTTAAATTGTACAAAATTTAGTACACATTTGTACGAATTTTTAAAACTTCCTACATACCCCAATCCTACACCCCCACAATGATCCTAAATCCAAGTTTCAAGATACCAATTCTATCGGTTCGCCCACAATTCAAACTGTACAAAATTTAGTACAAAGTAATACAAAATTTCAACACTTCCTACATACCCCGGTCCTACACCCCCACAGTGATGCTAAATCCATGTTTTAGGATTCAAACTCTATCAGTTCACTCACAATTCAAATTGTACCAAATTTAGTACACAGTAGTACTAATTCCCAAACTTCTTGCATACCCCAATCCTACCCCCCACACTGATCTTAAATACAAGTTTCAGGATTCCAACTCTATCGGTTCACCCACTATTTAAATTGTACCAAATTTAGTACACATTAGTACAACTTTTTAAAGCTCCCTACATATCTCAATCTTAAACCTCAACAATGATCCTGACTCAAAATTTCATGATTCTAGCTCAATTGGTTCACCTAAAATTCAAATTGTACCAAATTTAGTACCATTTAGTACGAATTTCAAAAACTTCCAACTTAACCCAAACCAACACCCCCACAGTGCTCTAAAATCTAAATTTCAGGATTCCAACTCTATCGGTTCACCCACAATTCAAATTGTACCAAATTTAGTACACAGTGGTACGAATTTCCACAACTTCCTACTTAACTCAAACCAACACCCCCACAGTGATCCTAAATCCAAGTTTCAGGATTCCAATTCCATCGGTTCACCCACAATTAAAATTGTACCAAATTTAGTACACATTAGTACAAATTTTTAAAACTCCCTACATATCTCAATCTTAAACCTCAACTATGATCCTGACTCCAAATTTCATGATTCTAGCTCAATTGGTTCACCTAAAATTCAAATTGTACCAAATTTAGTACCATTTAGTACGAATTTCAAAAACTTCCAACTTAACCCAAACCAACACCCCCACAGTACTTCAAAATCTAAATTTCAGGATTCCAACTCTATCGGTTCACCCACAATTCAAATTGTACCAAATTTAGTACACAGTGGTACGAATTTCCAAAACTTCCTACTTAACTCAAACCAACACCCCCACAGTGACCCTAAATCCAAGTTTCAGGATTCCAATTCCATCGGTTCACCCATAAATTAAATTGTACCAAATTTAGTACACATTTGTATAAATTTTTAGAACTCCCTAAATATCTCAATCTTACACCTCAACAATGATCCTGTCTCCAAATTTCATGATTCTAGCTCAATTTGTTCACCTAAAATTCAAATTGTACCAAATTTAGTACCATTTAGTACCCATAAGTAATAATGTTTTAAACTGAGTCCTGACCCCAATCCTACACCCCTACAGTGATCCTGACTCCAAATTTTATTGTTTCCGCTCTATCGGTTCACCCAAATCCAAATTGTACCAATTATAGTACGATTTAGTACTTTTCGTACACATAAGTAACAAATTTCCAAAACTACGTACATATCACAATCCTATACTCCGACGCTAATGTTACTTTCAATTTTCAGTATTCTAGCTCCATTTGTACCTCCAAATCAAATTTGTACCAAATATAGTACCATATAGTACTATTCGTACACATGAGTACACGGTTTCAAAACCATCTCCTTATATCGACCCTACTTCCCAACCCTAATTCGCATTCCAAATTTCAAGCTTTTAGCTCTATCCGTTCTCATGCTACAGAATTGTACAAAATTTAGTACATTTTCGTACATTTCGGATAGTTGTAGTTCGAATTTCCAAAAACCCTTTGGTACATCTATCCTACACTCCATCAGTGACCCTCAATCCAAATTTCAGAGTTCTAGCTCTACTGGTCCGCCAAATACAAATGATATTATATTTAGTACTTTTTAGTACTTTTCGTACCCTTCTAGTACGAATATCCAAAAACCCAGCCTTATCTGTCACATTTGGGCCAAGAGTGACCCTCACCCAAAATTTCAAGATTCTAGCTTCAGCCGTTTCGTCTGGGCGTTGATGAATCGTTAAATCAGTCAATCAGTCAGTCAATCACTTTACTCTTTTATTAGTATAGATTATGCATACGTAATTCGGTCGGATGTTGTACCCTCCAATACCAGCAAATGGTCAAAACACTCGTCGTGAGTATCCTTGACTTTAGACGATAACATGAAGTTCCGATCTTTGAATTTGAAGGTTGAAAATCGAGTGACTTTCTGCCTTAAGTTTGTGAAAGAGGCAATAAATCTTACCACATTATTAGAAGCACGTATAAATTGTATCAATGGAGTGACCGACATGATTTAATAAAAGAAAAAAGCAAATAAAACAGATGAAAAATCAACATTCTTATTCAGAATAAAATTCTATGTTTGTATGTCTGTTATTTTTCATCTTGTTTATTATTAATAGGTCATGGGCACACCCATTCGGAATTTTCGGCATATTTAACAATTTTTTAGCCGAGTTTGTTGTAATTGGGTATTTTTTATTTTGTATTGGGTAACGAAGCTTTCTATAAAAAATGTTCAATATTGGTGAACTTTTTAGGAAATTTTGGTAAGTTTTTAGTATTTTGGCATTGGGTACCTACCTACTGAATATGATAAATATTGCTCAACTGAACACGATTTATAATCGAATTGGCTCTTATTTGGTTCTCCTTGGGTGTCATTGCCGTCACATAAGAAGTACAACCATTTATAAAGTTCCGTAAGATTACAGGTGTTTCAAATACCTGGTGGCGAACTTAACGACTTTTTTACTTATTTATAAATTATAAGTGGTTATTTATACTCTTTCGAGTCGAGCTTGATGATGTTTTGCAATGAAAAGGAAAGCCAGGAAAAGAACCTACGTACCCACCATTATGCGACGCGTTTCGCCGTTGGTTAAGCGGCTCATCAGACATTTTGGGCTGTGTGGCTTTACAAATGTCGTACGTTGATAATTTGTATTTATTCCGCCCTGATGCGAAACTTGCATATGCGAATTAAATTTATAAATTATTTAAAAAAGTAAAAATAATCAATTTGACCAAAAAATAGTGTAAACACAACGTAAAATCTATTGGGGAGAGAGGGGGTACATCTGAACGTGAGGCACCTTTGAACAGCGTTCATAAAATCTCGGTTTTTATATTTCCGACTCGCAACCGAGATTTTTCAGTTGTCAACAAAATGTAGATGGGTTTTCGCAGTGCCATTGTACATTTAAATTTTTTTGGTTGTAAGACCTCAGGAAGAATTCGGCGATCGTTCTTTCTCGTTAAACAATTTTTGTTTTGCATTCGAACAATCATTTCATTATTAACTACAAAAAAAATTATAAATTTCCGTAAAATGGCACATTTGATGCAACTTTGAACGGATTTTTTAACTTTTGGCTTCGATTTAATAAGGCTACGAAATTAATTGTATTTTTCATCATATTAATTTTTTTGTATGTTTATGCTTTTTATAAATAAATGCATTTCTGATAAGTATGAATAATTTTTTATATATTTTAGAACAAAATCACTATAATAAACAATGCCGTTCAAAAATGATAAGCCTGAAAACATAATGACTTCGTCGATTAAAACAGTAATAAAATATTTTAATCGAACTTAAAGTATGCCATTTGTATATTCAGTGTAACATTTGCACCAATTAGTAAAATTTATAAAAAAAAAACAAAAATTATAAAATAAAACATTTTACGAGGCTTGAAAGCAAAAAGTGTTCAAAAATTAATTAAAATTATACATAATTTTAAAATGGTTCAAAGTGATTTAATGTAGCATTAAATGTATTTTTATACTATTTTTAGATTCCAGAGGAATTAATGCTTGATTATGCAGAAATAACTTCCATACCACCGCTTCCGTTGTGGGTACTTTTAAATGCCGATAAGGAGTCGTCTAATCAAGGCACTGTCCTATCTGAAGATGCTAAAGATTATGACCAACTTTTTGAAATGGATACCGTCGATGACAGTTTAGATGATCTTCTTGACAATGAGAATGAATATAAGCGATCAGATAGACGTCTATCAATCCCAGAGAAACAAAATATTTCACATTTCGGTCCTCGTCAGGGCCAAATTCTTTCGAGGCTTTTAACTCACACTCATCTCCCTGGACTTTCCTCCCTAGACCAAATGCATCTTCTAGCATTGGCTGATACCGTTTCAACGTGCAATACCGACTTCTCCGAAAAGTTTATTACTGAATCGGGAAAATCAACGAGTAAAGAAGCTTCCGGAAATTCTTTAACAGATTCTCTAGATGATTGTGGCCTCAGATTTTTACTGGCAATGAAACATTATACATACCTTCTACGTTGTTTGCCATTAAATCAAAGAACGCAATTTCAAAAACATGGTGTTGGTACCTCAAATATTGTATGGGCATTCCATTCGGAGAGTGAAGAGGAATTATTAAATTTAATACCATCATACAAAAAAGGCGATTTAAAATGGTCAACTCTTAAAGACCTTGGAGTTGGATATTGGCTTCGAAATATTAATATTTTGCGACAGTGTGTTGAAAAATTGGCTAAAAGTGCGTATCAACTTAAACAAGACCCTCTTGATGCAGCTTTGTATTATTTGGCTATGAAAAAGAAATCAATAGTTTGGGGACTTTTCCGGTCGAAGAGGGATGAAAAAATGACACAATTTTTCGCAAATAACTTCTCGGAGGACCGATGGCGTAAAGCTGCTTTAAAAAATGCCTTTGTTTTGCTAGGCAAGCAGCGGTTTGATCATGCCGTCGCATTCTTCTTACTAGCTAATTCTTTAAATGACGCAATTGAAGTTTGCATTAACAAACTTGATGACTTTCAATTAGCACTAATCATTGCTCGTCTATACGAAGGAGATGCTGATATAAATTCTAATTCAACGTATAGAAAACTACTATGCGAACATGTTTTGGGCAGCGAAGATGAATCGGTAAAGTTTCACTACGAAAAGGCGCATCCAGATCCGTTTTTACGATCAATGGCATATTGGATTCTAAAAAGACACCAGGAAAGCTTAAATACGTTGTTACTATCTGGTGTTGGGCAGTGTCATCCAGCATTTAAGGAAGAGGATATGTTCAAATCGGAAAATCAATCAACAAATCCTAATGTGTTTAACTTCTACATTTATTTAAGAACACATCCCTTGCTTGTTCGACAGAACTTGGCATTGTCGGCTCAAGAAAAGAAACTTTCGCATGTGGTGTTATCGGGATTTAGTTATTCCGGAGATGTTGCAAAGAACTCAAAGAATGATAAACAGCTACAAATTGAAGATTCCATCAGCTCTATAGAACGACAATTGTACTTTACAACTGCGCACTGTCATTTCAAAGCGGGATGTCCAGCATTAGCCCTTGAAGTTTTGAATAAATTACCAACAAAGGTAATTGATTCTGTAGAAATTGAAGAAGTTGAATCGCCATGTAGTACTGATAACGATCTAATAAAAACTGGAATAATTGACTGGGCAAAACAAACATCTATAGATGTCGCTGAAACAACAGCATCGGCATTAGATTGGAGCACACCAGTCTCATTGTCCATGAAAGAAGACGATAAATTCAAAATTGAATGGGATGACGACGATGAAAATAATGATAATTCTGACCATGATGAAAATATATACAAAAAGGAAGAAGTTAGTGCAATTACGACCAAGGACGACGATAGTACAATGTCCAACAAGGTGAAAAAAATTGATATAATGGCACAGCAGCTTAAGTTTGTAGCTTGTTTAAAAATTCTTATGGAAGAGTTATCAACATTAGCCACAGGCTTCGAAGTTGATGGAGGCCAGCTGCGATACCAATTATACATATGGCTAGAGAAAGAGGTAGAAGCATTGCAACAATTATGTAATTACTGTAAATTCGACTCCGCGGATTTGAAAAACACATCGGATATTATGAAGGTAATTTCTATGTTTCTTTAATATTATCCTCCACTTTCAAAATCGGCAAAGGCATATCCATGAAGTTGGATTTAATATTTGGTTAAACGTATGAAGAAAAGTTTGTGTTGGTTACAGAATTAGCACAAGTAAATGCATTTTTTCGTAGCAACTGTATCAAAAATAGCGAATATTTTATATCTTATTTTTATGTTTTATTTTTTTATGTTTTAATAATTAACGCAAGGAAGGAAAAAAATTGTATTCAATACAAAAATGATTGTTGTTGAAATATGTTTGGCATAGAAAGTAATATTTGGTTGGAAAATATAGATTTTTTTCCTTAATCATACCTAAGCCAGGATAGTCTCTTAGCAAAGTTGTGAATGATGGTGGGATATATATTGGATCATATATATATATATATCCCACAATACCTAAGCCAGGATAGTCTCTTAGCAAAGTTGTGAATGATGGTGGGATATATATTGGAGAAGAAGGGCAGAATACAGTGACCAGTAATGATCCCTACATTCAGTTTATCTCCTTTTTGTCAAGATAAATTAACAATTTTGATCCGTCAGCTAGATTTAGAGGCTCTGGATGCGGGTTCCTCCCGCCATCTGCGTACAGATTTTCTAAGGAAATCTTATGGATTCTACGAATGTAGTAGCTTAGGGGTGGTTTAGCAGTAGCATCAACTGGTATCAGCTACCGGCTCGTCAGCTATTTCATTCCCTATTATGTTGGTATGACCGGGAACCCAAAATAGTCTAACAAAAATACGTATATCTAGCATCACATCTCTGCATTCTCGAACTGCCCTAGAATTTACAGTCCGCGACTTCATGACTAGAGTTCCGCTGCTTTCTTGTATGCTAGAATTTCTGCCTGAAAAATACTACAGTTAATGTTCAATTTATATGAGTTTTTAATACTCATCTCTCGATCCCGATGCTGTTCCGACTCTAGAACTGTTGCAATTTGTTCTCTTAGATTAAGTTCTCTCTTGATAAATACACACACTCTTACCGAAGACCGTGTAGTGGTTGCTCTTAAGGCCAGGCACTATACCCTTATATAGTGTTGGCTCCTGAACTAGAGCGATATCTGCTTTCAGGCTGTGCTGCAGTGTTTGGTTTAGGGTTCTGGGGATTTTTAGGGGATTACATTTTCAAAACAATCAATGAACTTGGGATATGACTTTGAGAATAAATTTTTCATTGTCGTTTGTGTAATGGAGGGGATTATTTGCAGATTATGTAGTCCTTATGTAGAAGTTTATGTCCTTTTTGGAAGAAAATGTATTTATCTCAGGGTGCTGCTGAGCCACACCCACTTTAAGGACTTGCTCTCCACCGCCCTTTTATATTATTGTTGTATATCTATACTCTTCAAATTACATGTTAAAACAAAATTTTCCTCAAAAATATTTGATTATTAATAAAATATTTAAGTTACTAATGGTACAATTATTCAAGGTAGGTCATAGCAACTCTTTTTTTCATATTGTGGCTTATTATGCCAAAAGTCGTATACCAAATGTTTATGTAATGTTTTGAAAAATATATTCTTACAGCCTTTTTTGTAAAATTCTAAACGAACGAATTCGAGTGACTTGCGACTTACCGTTGGCGTAGTCGTGTTGAAAATTTGGCACTGTCGTATTTATACGACAAATCGGTATTATGAAAGTCGTTACAATACGCCAAATTTGTCATGAAAGATTCTGTTGACGACAGCATAAAAATAACTAGGAAAATAATTTTAACATTTTATTTTAACAATATTTACTGATTCACTGTTACATTAGAATTTATTTTATAGCATTTAATTAATTAATTAGAAACCAAACGAAATGACATACTTTTTCCAATACAATATAAAAAGGGTTCTAAAAGTTGCTTTGGTTTTGTAACAGAGTAAAAGAAAAATCTATTACAAAATTTGGTGTTGTCGTAAATTTTACATAATAAAGACGTAACTAACAAAAACATAATTGTGTAGGAAAAGCAAAAAACTGTTTTGAATGAAAACTGTAAACATGTCAAATGAAGATTTTTCTAAGTTCACTTTTAATACACTGACAGATTTATACCTAAATAAAACAAAATTGTTTTTCAATTATTATATTATTATTATAAACCCACTTGTAGTTACGTCTTTTTGTTTTATGTTAATTGAGGCTCCTTTTTTGACCGCAGACGTGTAAAACTTTGTCAACGCATGTAGTTTATTGACATCCACAATATTCATTCAAAAAGTCAATTTTCAATTTGTTGTTATAATAAAACAATTTCGAAATTTCTGAGTTACCATAACACCTAAGTGTCTAATTTTTATGATTTTGACAAGTAAAGAAAATTCCGAGATGGAATTCAAAAAAACTCTGATACATTTATGTAGAACTTCCTTTAACGTTCATAGCTATTTCTTCCGATTTAAATTTGTTAAAAATGTATCCCACATCCAAGTTTTTTAAAAAATTTATCCCGCACCCAAGTTTATCGGTTAGCAAGGTAAGCCCTTTGATAGAGTTTAATAAGATCTCAAATGCCTTCTTGAATTTATAAGGTTGACAGAAACCCGGAACAGGATTCATAAAAACTGTTCGTTCATTTCTTGCTGATGGGTAGGTAATTGAAGAAATTAGTGCTGTGAGCGTGCAAAGTTACGCAAGATTTATACAATTGCTGCCGTAACAAGAACAACCTCCCCCTGAGACTCATCATTTCCAATCACAATAGTGTTTTTATGATCCTTGTATGGTTACGTATATGTGGCTGTAAAAAAAGACTGTAAAACAAATTGTTGTTCTAAATTTGTTATGTTTATGAATAGCAAAATGTATACCAAAGGTATAGCTGCTTTTCCAAAGACCATAGTGATGAAAATTTCCAATGAATGTCCAGCAAAATAGGAAAAAAAGGATAAATCGAATTTAAAGCCCCAAAGTTTTGATTTTTAGTAGAAATTGCGGTAATATATATATATATTTTTTTTGTAATTGATTGTTTTGTGATGAAAATTTGAAAAAAAAAAAATGAGTTTAAATGGTATAATTTCACATCACCAATAAGTTTTTTGTTGAAATAGTATAATTTAACTTGGGTTTACTCGAATTTATTTATGTTGTTTCTTAATAAATAATAATAAATGATATCGGCTAGAAAGAAATGGAAAACATCATAAACCTAGTAAGCACAGCAAGAACTATATAAGCAAAATAAATATAAATATACTTTTTTGTTGAGTCTCATTTAAAAAATGTACATATTTTTTCATTATAATTAAAAAAGTATATATTATTTTGCAGGAAAAAGACAACCCAGTTTCCTACATACTATCGGAAAAACCGACACTTCATGAAATTTTATTACATGAAAAACAAGATTTCGAAGCTAAAGTGATGAGAGCTGCAAAAAGAAAGAAGTGGTTGAAAGGTAAGTTACTAGCATTTGTGGGTTCGCCCATTCTGATATTTACAACATTTGTATTTTCATGTTTCTTAACAAAGTCATTTTTTATTATTTGTATTTGAAAATTTGGTCAACATCGGAAATTGACTACGAATGATACGAAACAGTTGCAAGCAGTGGTTGTTGACATTTTTAAACTCGATTTTATGTATTTTTGGAATTTTTCTTCTAGTTTCAATGTGCAATCAAGAATATCCAAAAATCTGTTATAAGTTTGTTGTACTCGCGAATCTGAGTAATTGGATATATATTGTGTATGTAGTATGTACAGTTTTAGAGTAATATTCATCCAAAGGTGAAAATTTTCTGCATTAAGATTTCCAAGAAACCCTAAGCTTTTTTTACGTTCCGGATAAAATAGGATTTAATTCATGAAAATTCATAAATTAAAACGACCGGTACGAGACTGCCAGTACTCGAATTTTGATATGATACGAATTTTGACCTTTTGCGAAAATAGAAATTTAAAACTTCAGACAAAAGAGTGTTATACCCTATTTATTCCCAAAATAGTGTGAGTTACTACATCCCTGGATCTTGATGGACAGCATTTAAATGGGTAGAGATGGTATGGTATTTATCGGGTAAATACCCAAAAATTGAATCGGTAATACAACATCTTACACCCTATTTCCGGGGTTCTGTTATCAAATCGATTTAGAATGGATAGTTTAAAGATACTTTAAAGACGTGGGTAAATACTCGGGTATTTACCCAAAAATTGGGTATAAACTCATTAGCTGCCGAGCCACTTAACATAGGCGGACAAAATTTTGCTTACATATTTCTAATGTAAAAGCAAATATTGAAATGCAAAATGGGGTCCCTGGTCCAAGTTTTGATACCGCCCCCATATAACCGTATCTCCCGATTTAAGGTATTTTTGTCTATTAGACGCATTTTACTACGAAATTGGCTGTAATTTGGAGTGTTCTCTTTGGGTACCAAATGTGAATATGCTTCGAATTTCTCGAATCATCCAAATTGCATATAAATGTAAAATGTGAAAATAACAATGAATGTATACCGCAGAAATGATGGTCTGACCTCTCAAATTGTTGACCTCTAAAATTGTTGGATCCAAACCCAAAATAATTATTGTTTACTATGACGGTCGAAAATTCTTTTCCTGTTAATCCTTCTAATTCCACGTAGCAAAGGAAACATTTTTTGACTTTTTTAGATACCTTGTCCAATATCTTCTACATATATAGTTTCATCCACTACAACCGAAAGGAATACAGCACTTTTCACTTTTTCAAAAATAAACTTCTGGATGTATTCTCCAATTATTTATATTAACTCGTTCTGTATTCTGGGACTCAGGTATGTTGAATTTTTTGCTGTACTCTTCTTCTAACCGCAGTATTCATGAGGCTTTCCTTCCCTTAATAGCAATAAAATTGTCTCAATGGCCACTTTAACAGAATACGTTTGTTCTTTCAATATATGTGAAGTTTGTTTGTCCCGTGTCCTCATCATCGCATCTTTGTGGTATTCCTTTTTTTTGTGGGCGGTGATGCATTTATTAGGACCTTTCCAATTTCTAAGAGTGTGTGACAGAAGTAATTTTGGGACTTGGTGGTTGCCCTTGCCGCACCTTTTATAAATCTGAATATGAAATACAAGAAACCAGGGGCCGGCTGGCAAGGTATAATTAAAATGAAAACAACTCAATTCAAACACTTTTGCACGTATTAGAAAAAAAATCAAAATACTAATCGATTTTTAATTTTTTATCCACAATCTATCACGGGCCGGGCCCGTTATAAATTTGGAACGCATTAGTAGTTTTTGAGTAGTTTTTCACTAAAACGGACATTTTGTAGTGTATTTTTAAAATGACATTTTGCAGTGTAATTAAATTACGAAACAAAATTAATTTTTTTGGAAACCGAGAATTAGGAAAAGCGTCACCATAAGTTTGTTTTTTGAGTAATAGTTATTTTTATTAAAAAATATATAAAAAATATTTTCCCCAAATGTGTAATATTTGTATCCTCCGAGTGTTATATTTTCTTGGTGGCAACACTGTCCTGCAGTGTCTACATTTATGGGTCGATTACGGATGGCAACCATAGTTTAGTTGCGTTGCCAGTTGCCAAATTTGCATTATGGAATTTTTCGGCAACCATTTATTTCTGGTTGCTGTTTATAATAACTGAACTTTGTAGGCTTCCCATAATGGTTAATATTACTACAAAAGAACAATTTGAGGTCCTTATTGCCCGGATGGAGTTTGGTTGCTTTTCATAATCGACCCATTATAGTCCTTACATTAGTATTTATTCTGAAAACGAGAGGAAATAATGGCAAATTATGTTGTTGTAGCAGTTTAATATGTATGTCATTCTTCTTGGTCTTGTCTCCAAGTTAAGAAATACAACTACGCCCACAGGGTGCATCCATAGATCTTCTGGAGTAAGTTGAGTAAGTTTGGCAGGGCAATTGAATAAGTGCAGTGTGGTGTGAAAATATCTACTATATGCTGGGCAGACATTTGCAGTTTTATTCACGACATTATGGTTAGGGTGATTATCACTGAAGCACCCAAGCAGTTACTGCTACGATATCATATTGTTATGTTGACGTTGGGGTAGAATATTAGTCTTCTCATGAAGAAGTTCCACTGCTGTTATGAAGAGGCACCCTGTTAGAGTTCTCATGTCGGCATTGATACAGGTCTGAATACTTCTCCATTACGTAGCAATATTATTCCCAGACGATACTGGTGCCGCATAACTAGCCTATTTCTTTGTAAGAGGCCATAAAGTTTCCTTATCAGTACCCCAAGTGCTGTCGGCAAGCGACTTGACGACATTGTTCCTACTTTTCAACATATCGGAGTTAGCTGTTGTTAACGGAGTCGATGTGAACATGTCAAATGTGACCCCGAAAATTTTCGGCTTCGAGAAACTGTCTTTTAAAATAACTTGCCAGTTGGCTTTCCTATGGTTAAGGAAAGTGCGGCGTTATATATGTATATATATATATATATATCCCAGTTTTTTATTTTCTCTATCGATTTGTGACTAAGCCACACATTTCACTGTCTTCGTGGCAAAGTAAAACTAGAAGCCTACAAAATGGGGACTACGTCTCTTATGTATCATTTTTCAAAATTTTAACATGAGCGTGAAGATAAATTGTTGAAAGTTAAATTGTAATGTTATTAACAGAGCTCTGTTAAGCCATTAACAGAGCTCTTTTAAAAGGTTAACAGAATTGAAAAATAATCAAATTAAATAGATTTTACGATTATTTTTATTTAAAATTAATAAAAATAAGTAGGATTAGGACAAAATTAACAAATGTGCTACCCCAATGCAATAAAACATAAAAATTACTGCACATGCAGCAACACTGTAGGTATTTGCAATTAGGCCCACTGTCCGAAAATTTCAAAACCTGGGACTAAGCGAATACCCACGATGGAAAGGTCAGTCCATGGGCTTTCAGAATATATATAGGAAATCAATTTCGGATATAATAAATTTTTCGACTTTTTTTAAATTGTACAATTTAACCGTAGGTCTGGTAATTGATATGGTCCAACTATTAGGCCCACTGTCCCGAAATTCCAAAACCTGGGACTAAGCGAATACCCGCGATTGAAAGATCACTCCTTGGGCTTTCAGAAAATATATAGTTTGTATCCGAAATCAATTTCGGATATAATAAATTGTTTGACTTTATTTAAATTGTAATTTTTTTGATATCTGATATGGTCCAACTGTTAGGCCCACTGTCCGAAAATTTCAAAACCTGGGACTAAGCGAATACCCACGATGGAAAGGTCAGTCCATGGGCTTTCAGAAAATATATAGTTTATATCCGAAATCAATTTCGGATATAATAAATTTTTCGATTTTTTTTAAAATTGTACAATTTAACCGTAGGTCTGGTAATTGATATGGTCCAACTATTAGGCCCACTGTCCCGAAATTCCAAAACCTGGGACTAAGCGAATACCCGCGATTGAAAGATCACTCCTTGGGCTTTCAGAAAATATATAGTTTGTATCCGAAATCAATTTCGGATATAATAAATTGTTTGACTTTATTTAAATTGTAATTTTTTTGATATCTGATATGGTCCAACTGTTAGGCCCACTGTCCGAAAATTTCAAAACCTGGGACTAAGCGAATACCCACGATGGAAAGGTCAGTCCATGGGCTTTCAGAATATATATAGTTTATATCCGAAATCAATTTCGGATATAATACATTTTTCGACTTTTTTTAAAATTGTACAATTTAACCGTAGGTCTGGTAATTGATATGGTCCAACTATTAGGCCCACTGTCCCGAAATTCCAAAACCTGGGACTAAGCGAATACCCGCGATTGAAAGATCACTCCTTGGCCTTTCAGAAAATATATAGTTTGTATCCGAAATCAATTTCGGATATAATAAATTGTTTGACTTTATTTAAATTGTAATTTTTTTGATATCTGATATGGTCCAACTGTTAGGCCCACTGTCCGAAAATTTCAAAACCTGGGACTAAGCGAATACCCACGATGGAAAGGTCAGTCCATGGGCTTTCAGAATATATATAGTTTATATCCGAAATCAATTTCGGATATAATAAATTTTTCGACTTTTTTTAAATTGTACAATTTAACCGTAGGTCTGGTAATTGATATGGTCCAACTATTAGGCCCACTGTCCCGAAATTCCAAAACCTGCGATTGAAAGATCACTCCTTGGGCTTTCAGAAAATATATAGTTTGTATCCGAAATCAATTTCGGATATAATAAATTGTTTGACTTTATTTAAATTGTAATTTTTTTGATATCTGATATGGTCCAACTGTTAGGCCCACTGTCCGAAAATTTCAAAACCTGGGACTAAGCGAATACCCACGATGGAAAGGTCAGTCCATGGGCTTTCAGAATATATATAGTTTATATCCGAAATCAATTTCGGGGTACAATTTTTCTATATATGGGCTTTCAGAGTATATATAGTTTATATCGGAAATCAATTTCGGATATTGAAAATTTTTCCAATTTTTTTCTGAACATATATAGTTTACATCCGAAATCAGTTTCGGATATTTTTTTTATTTTATTTATATTGTAAAATTTCTGTAAAACAGGTAAAAATTGTATCAATTTATCTTCAGAAGTCTTTCAAATCCACAGAACGTTTTTGGTACCTGTTTTTTGGTGTTCTATTGACACATTATGAGTTTTACAATACTTATTTTTATGACTTTTTCTCTTTGCATTCATAAATCGCAATAAATGTGTCTAAAATTTTTTAAAGAAATACCCACACCAATAAAAAATTAGCCTTCCTTTTAAAGCCCTTTTTATAAAAAAAATAAAAAAATTAGGTAAAATCGCCAACCGGGTTTGAACCGCGTGCACCATGTTTCATAAAGTGAGTGCGCAACCGCATGAACCACAGTTGTAATTTGTGAGATGACAGCGATTGTATGTACTTTATGCTAATTCAGTTTCATTGCTTAGAGACTTCTATATTCGCGCTATTTTATATTTTTTTGAAATGCAATTTTTCCAATGAAAATGCGTATACCGTATATGCGTATGCGTATATAAACATATTAACAGAAATTTGTTAGGAAATCGTGATACCTTCAGCTTTTAAGAAGATCTCGTGAACATGACCCTTTTAAATTCCTCAGAATTGATTTAAACATTATTGAAATTGTTTTATTTATGTCTTGCATTGAATAGGATATTTATTATTGTTATTTAAGAAGGATGATATTTGACATTCTATTTCTCCCATTTACATACATATATGATTTTTGCTTTTATTATATGTTTTATTTAAGGATATAAAAATTTTGGGAAAAATATATTTTTGCTTCAACGAGTACTTTTTTTTTAAACGCGCTTTATTTTTCACATGTTTGTCAATGTGTGATTCACTGATCTTTTAATTATGCTGTCGAGCGCGTGTTACACACACACACACACACAAACAAACAAAAAACGCCTACTGTGTTAGGGTGGTTTTTTAGCAGAAAAATGTAACGTTCTGCAATTATGTGTTGTTGTATTGCAGCGACAAGCAAAATGATCTAATTTGCAAAACGTCGAAATAAGTTTCACGTTCATACACACAGAAATACACTGATTTGCCACATGTTAAGAATTGTCTTCGGTGGTCGAAGTGGTAAGCCGGTTGCTGTCTTATAAGCGTGCGTTTTACAATAAGGTCGTAGGTTCAAACCCCACGGCTGGCGTTTTAATTTATTTGACTACTTAATTTTTAGAAATTTGATGTTTTATCCGCTTTAAACCTTCTTTTTTAGCTTTTTATTTTTCCTTAGTTATATTAAAAAAATATTCGAAATAAACAATAATGATAATTATAAGAATTTTAAAAAGCGTTTTAAAAAATTAAAAAAGTAGTGTTGGCGGGTTATTTGGGATACCATTTGTATTTTGTTTTTGTTTTTTTGCAAAATAGTCAGGCTGAAACTCTCTTAACCCTCGGTGAATGAAATAGTTGTTTTTTTTATAAAAACAACAAACTGGGATTCAGCCTGACTATTGTGCAAAAAAAAAACAAAAAAAAACAAAATACAAATGGTATCCCAAATAACCCGCCAACACTACTTTTTTAATTTTTTAAAACGCTTTTTAAAATTCTTATAATTATCATTATTGTTTATTTCGAATATTTTTTTTAATATAACTAAGGAAAAATAAAAAGCTAAAAAAGAAGGTTTAAAGCGGATAAAACATCAAATTTCTAAAAATTAAGTTGTCAAATAAATTAAAACGCCAGCCGTGGGGTTTGAACCTACGACCTTATTGTAAAACGCACGCTTATAAGACAGCAACCGGCTTACCACTTCGACCACCGAAGACAATTCTTAACATGTGACAAATCAGTGTATTTCTGTGTGTATGAACGTGAAACTTATTTCGACGTTTTGCAAATTAGATCATTTTGCTTGTCGCTGCAATACAACAACACATAATTGCAGAACGTTACATTTTTCTGCTAAAAAACCACCCTAACACAGTAGGCGTTTTTTGTTTGTTTGTGTGTGTAACACGCGCTCGACAGCATAATTAAAAGATCAGTGAATCACACATTGACAAACATGTGAAAAATAAAGCGCGTTTTAAAAAAAAATACTCGTTGAAGCAAAAATATATTTTTCCCAAAATTTTTATATCCTTAAATAAAACATATAATAAAAGCAAAAATCATATATGTATGTAAATGGGAGAAATAGAATGTCAAATATCATCCTTCTTAAATAACAATAATAAATATCCTATTCAATGCAAGACATAAATAAAACAATTTCAAAATTCTGAGGAATTTAAAAGGGTCATGTTCACGAGATCTTCTTAAAAGCTGAAGGTATCACGATTTCCTAACAAATTTCTGTTAATATGTTTATATACGCATACGCATATACGGTATACGCATTTTCATTGGAAAAATTGCATTTCAAAAAAATATAAAATAGCGCGAATATAGAAGTCTCTAAGCAATGAAACTGAATTAGCATAAAGTACATACAATCGCTGTCATCTCACAAATTACAACTGTGGTTCATGCGGTTGCGCACTCACTTTATGAAACATGGTGCACGCGGTTCAAACCCGGTTGGCGATTTTACCTAATTTTTTTATTTTTTTTATAAAAAGGGCTTTAAAAGGAAGGCTAATTTTTTATTGGTGTGGGTATTTCTTTAAAAAATTTTAGACACATTTATTGCGATTTATGAATGCAAAGAGAAAAAGTCATAAAAATAAGTATTGTAAAACTCATAATGTGTCAATAGAACACCAAAAAACAGGTACCAAAAACGTTCTGTGGATTTGAAAGACTTCTGAAGATAAAATGATACAATTTTTACCTGTTTTACAGAAATTTTACAATATAAATAAAATAAAAAAAATATCCGAAACTGATTTCGGATGTAAACTATATATATTCAGAAAAAAATTGGAAAAATTTTCAATATCCGAAATTGATTTCCGATATAAACTATATATACTCTGAAAGCCCATGGACTGACCTTTTCATCGTGGGTATTCGCTTAGTCCCAGGTTTTGGAATTTCGGGACAGTGGGCCTAATAGTTGGACCATATCAATTACCAGACCTACGGTTAAATTGTACAATTTTAAAAAAAATCGAAAAATGTATTATATCCGAAATTGATTTCGGATATAAACTATATATATTCTGAAAGCCCATGGACTGACCTTTCCATCGTGGGTATTCGCTTAGTCCCAGGTTTTGAAATTTTCGGACAGTGGGCCTAATTGCAAATACCTACAGTGTTGCTGCATGTGCAGTAATTTTTATGTTTTATTGCATTGGGGTAGCACATTTGTGAATTTTGTCCTAATCCTACTTATTTTTATTAATTTTAAATAAAAATAATCGTAAAAGAGCTCTGTTAATGGCTTAACAGAGCTCTGTTAATAACATTACAATTTAACTTTCAACAATTTATCTTCACGCTCATAATTTTAACTGCATCTACATTTAAATGATGCTGACATTTTGAAGCTCGATTTTGAGTGTTTTTTGAATTTTACTTCCAGCTTTAATACGCAAATAGAAATTTCTAAAAATCGATTATAAGATTATTGCAGTCGCGAATCTGAGTAATTTGATATATATTTTTTATATGTACAGCTTCAGAGTAATCTCATCCAAATGTGAAAATTTTGTGCGATCAAATTTCTAAAAAGCTGAAAGAGAGATGTACCCAATTTATCTCAAACATAGAGTGAGCTGGGTCATCCATGGTTCTTAATGGACCACATTGAAATAGATATAGATCGATGGATTTATTTAGGGTGCACACCAAAATCGGATGCGCGTTAATGGCATATGGAGTTTTCTGAAATTTTTCGCGTTTTACGAATTTTATGGTACTTCAATGCAACATGTAGTACATCATAGCAGTCAAATTAAATTTTCGCAAAACATACATGGGATTGTAAGATAACCTTGTATTTCATGGAAACCGCATGCGCATCAAATGTTTTTGAGGATTACGCGATTTAGACGCAATTTAAAATGTATATTTCATAATATAGTTTTATTTTAAGATGTGTTATTATTTATAGAACCGCAATATGTATCGGAAGTGTCTTGATATAATCCGCAAATTGTATACTTATACAAGAAGTGATTATTTATATATATGTCAATATGTCGTAAAATAAATATGATGACATCATTTCTTCGAACCAAAAACAAATAATTTTCCCCAATATCTTGTTTCGTTGTCGCTGTAATTTACAAACCGCTACACAGATGTGTGTGATTTTGATATCATTTGATTTATCGCGGTGTTTAGACTATGTACATATTTTTAAATTAATTTTTAGGTGTATGTATGTCATGAATTAGGTGTATGTATGTCATGAATATAATATTTCGCGAAAATGTGCAACCTTTTTGCGATTATTATAATATCTGCTTATTCATATTTTACGAAGGAAGTTATATATCAACGTTTTTGGTCAATATAATAAACGGCGTAATTTTAAGATTTTTTCTTATCCCCAAAATTAAAATCTCGATAACTTTTACGCGCATCAACCAAAAATTTGATTGCGAACGGATTCCAATCACGACATTTTTCTCTATATGTGTACCAAAAATTATTGATGTACTACGAAAACAAAAAGCCGATTTTTTTGAAAATGGATTATTAAAAAATTGGCAGTATTGCCCTCATGGCGGATGGTATAACAAGTTCGGCCCAGTCGAAATTAGCCTTTTTACTTGTTTTTGATTAATATCAACTTTAATATTATTAAAATTAAATACATTTGTTTATTTTTTAATCAGCGAACTATTTGTTGTTTATTTTTAGCAAATGAAACGCTGCTTAGAACATTACTTAGCTATTGTTCTCTTCATGGTGCAAGCGGAGGAGGTTTAGCATCAGTAAGAATGGAAGTTGTTCTTCTTTTACAAGAATTGCAACAAGAGAAAACTCAGCAACAATTACTTAGTCCTTTGCCATTCCCTACAACTCTTCCGTTATTAAGTGCATGCGTAGCCGGTAATAAAACTGTTATCGCAGATCCTATAAAATATTTACAGGTAAATATACGTAAATTTAAACAAAATATTACCTATTAAAATTGTTAATTGTTCAGTCCCAAACTATAGATATGCTTCACAGCGTTATACATTTCTCGCCTTTTGTTGGTTTAGATACTAATGCTTTCTGCGAGATCTTTATTATAAGAGATCTTGCTGTAGCGTTATCATCTTGTATTTATCAATCTTTGTGCGATTCTGAAAGTTTTGTGGTAAATAATACGACACAAAATGGGTACCAGAGTCCTGGCATTGAAAATATTGCCAAACTTAATTCATCGTTTGAGTGTTCTCATTTAATTGGAAATACAAATATTTACAACAGAAAGCGTTTTTACTCGATGGATGAACCAACTACTGTTTGTACAACACCTTCCAGATGGCCTGGAGTAGCAAATTTGAGAGCTTTGCTGGCTAGAGAAAAAGACGAAGATATTCCTAAACTGAATGTTTTGTTACTAGAAAGTTTCATCGCTACATACGTGTCTCTTGCTACTTATGCACTGGTAACCTGCGATAGTCGCATACTCTATCGATTAATAGTTCACAATTTTAACGTAGAAACTTGGTCAACAATTTTTGGCGGAGGTATGAAAAAATTGCTTAGAAAAGCCACCTGTGAAAATCAGCCTACTGCATTTAACAACACGTCGTCAGAAGATCAGAACGACGAAAGCAGTGTATGGAACACGGTAACATCGTCTATAACCAAACAACGAGTTAAATTGAACATGAAAATACTTGGCAACTTTGCTGGAAACAATACTTCTTCAAATATGAAAGAAGATAAACCTACTTATCGTGAGCAATTTGTCCCCCCGGAAATGTCTATGCTGTCTTATTTCTTGGCAAAACCTAAACCAAACGGTAGGTACATAAAATATTTGATTAAACAATTACAAGTACAGCATAATTCAAGAATTATGGTACAACTTTAATCTCTTATGTCTTGTAAATTAATATGAAATTTCATTGAATCATGGTAGGAAAGAAAACAAATTTGTTATTGGCGAAAGATTTTTGGAATTTTTATTAGAAGGTGAGCCTATAACGTGCATCGCCACAACATTTTATGTTTCATAATAACAATTGTGTTTGAATGAACCAAATATAGACCTATTCGATGTTGTTTCCAATGTTTCCGACCATTTAATGCAAAACGGCGTTATAAGAATTTTAACTGGGGGGAAAGAATCATAACTTTTTATATGTGTTTTTGTCGAATATATTCGACATTTAAAATTACTCTCTTTCTTTGCGATTTTTCGGTTATCCTATGTACCGTTACAATAGATGTTTTTATTTTTGCTGAAAGACAGACAAAACTATCCGAGGGTTAAAATAAAAATTGTTTTTTTCTAAACTCTGTGCCTTTATATGATTTTTAATACAAAATTTAATTTTTATTCCGACAACAATTTTTTGACACTGAAAGGGTTAACGTAAATCCGGACAAGACGGAGATTTATCCTCAATAGAAAGACAAAAGTAGGACAGTTTAAAGAAACCATATTTCAAAACAAAGTAAAAGTCATATTAAATAAAGTAAAATATCTGGGAGTCATCCTAGACAGAAAAAGTCCACGAATGCTGGCCCTTCTGCAGAAGAGCCGTAGGTTCTAAATGGGACTTCAATCCAAAGATGATACTCTGAATGTATATGAGAGTTGTTAGACCAAATCGAATATACGCGTCGGTAGTCTTTTGAACTGCAATGGACAAAAATTTTAATGTAAAATCGTTGCAGAACGTCCAGAGAACATCATGGTACGTTGAAACATTTCCTGTGCCACTACCCTGTGCCATTACACTTGTCGCGAAATAACGTATCTAAGGGGGTGTGAATGGAAAAAAATGACAGAATTCCGAGAAGATTAGGGAAACCAAGTATAAAGATGGCTTCTTCTAGGTTATGTGTGCAATCACCATTAACAGCCTTATCACTCGGAGACATTTGACAGCAGCGAAGTAGTTCTACGTGGTGAGAAATCAGATAGTTTTTGGATTCCTGCTTCCAAGTTACGCTGACCATCTGCTGCCGGCTTTCTCGCAGTAGCTTTTCTGGATTTGCCAATGAAATATCCAATAGGAGTTTGTACACATCTTTCAATCGGTAAATTGACTGCGAACCTCCTTGAGCAAGCTCATTAGCTACTTCATTCCCATCTATGTCGCTATGTTCTGGAACCCAACGTTCTGTCGTATATCACTCAGAGCAACTTTACAGTCAAGAACCCCTTTTGAATTTATAGTACACTATTTAAGTGCCGCCTGACCACCGACTATATAGTCGTCGGTCCTGTATTACCTGCCTTAAGTGTTTTGACTATTTCAGCCGATTTCGTGATTGCTAGGATTTCTGCCTGAAAATGCTACAAAGATAGTTAAGTTATTATCTATATATATAAAGAGCTTAGTGTTAAGTGAGTGAGTGACTGACAGATCATCGCCCAGACGAAACGGCTGAAGCTAGAACCTTGAAATTTTTAGTGAGGGTTGATGTTGGTGTGTAGGCGTGAGATAAGGCTGGGTTTTTGGAAATTCGAACTAGAAGGGTACGAAATGTACTAAAATGTACCAAATATGGTACCCCTTTGTATTAGGCGAACGCGAAGAGCTAGAATTCTGAAATTTGGAATGTGGGTCACTGATGGAAAGTTAGAAATAGGTACAAAAGGGCTAAAAATTACAAAATGTAGTTCTAATTGTATATATATTGAACATATATAGCTAGAATCTGGAAATTTTATATGGAATACAGATTGGGAAGTGGTGTTGATGTACGGAAATGCTTTTAGAAATTCGTGCTTATGTGTATAAAAAGTACAAAATGGTACTAACTTTGGTACTATTTGCATTTAGTTGAGTGTATAGAGATGGAATCCGGAAAATCGGAATCAGGACTACTATTGGATAACAAGATTGAAGTAGCTTTAAAAAATCTTTAAAAAAATATGTGTACGAAAAGTACTAAATAGTACTAAATTTGGTGCAAGTTGGATTTAGGTGAACAGATAACCATGGTACCAAATAGTTTGCAAATTGTTTTTGCGTGAACGGATAGAGCTGAGATGCTGAAATTTTGAATTAGTAATACAGTTAGAGTGCAGGATTGAGATAAGTCGGTAGTTTAGAAGATTTGTCATTCTGTGTACTAAATGGTACTAAATTTGGTACAATTTGGATTAGGGTTAACGGATAGAGATGGAAAACTTAAGATTTGAAAAAAATTATAGAATTAATGGTACTAAATATTGTACAATTCGTTGTCTGTGAGCGGGAATCCTAAAATTTGAAATTAAAATTAAGGTTGGATTGTAGGAAGGGAAGTGTACTAAATGGTACTAAGTTTAGTACAATTTGAGGGAAAGGATAGAGATGGAGAACAATAAAATTACTGTTATGGGACAGGATTGAGGCATTGTTGGAAATTCGAACTCATAAGTACGAACAGTACTAAATGGTACTAAATATGGTAAAATTGAGATCTATGAGAACGGGTAGGGCTGGCATCCTAGAAATTATGATTAATATTACTGTTGCAGTGTGGAATTGAGGCAGTTTTAGTAATTCTTACTTACGTCTACGAAAAGTAATAAATGGTACTAAATTTGGTACAACTTGGATTTTGGTGAACGGATAGAGCTGGAATCTTTAAATGCTGATTTAAGGTTATTATTGGAGTGCATGACTGAAGTAGTTTTGTAAATTCATACTTATGGGTACGAAAAGTACTAAAATTGGTCAATTTTACTTTGGTACAATTTGGATTTGTGTGAACTTATTTGAGCTGAGATCCTGAAAGTTGGAAAATCGTACTTACGTGTACGAAAAGTAATAAATGGTACTAAATTAGGTACATTTTGAATGTTGGTGAACGGATAGGGGTGGAATCCTTAAATAGTTAGTTTTGGTAATTCATACTTATGGGTAAATTTGGTACAATTCGGACTTTGGTGGAATTAAGATAACTGTTAGAGTGTAGGATTGATGTAGTTTTCGAAATTCTTACTTATGAATATGAAAAGTACTAAATGTGGTACAATTTGGTTGAATGGATGGGACTGGAATTTTTATATTCGGAATTTAGATTTTTCGGAATATAGATAAGTGTTGGAAATTCGAATTTATGTGTACGAATTGTACTAAATGCGCTAAATTTGGAACAATTTGGATAACGGAGAGACCTGGAAACCTTAAAATTTGGGATAATGATTACTGTTGGAATGTAGATATAGGGATAGTTTTTACAATTTATATTTATGTAAAGTAAGCGGTACTTAATTTTGTACAATTTGATTTGAATTTTTTTTTGTTTTTTTTATTATCGGAAATTTGGAAATTCGTACTTATGGGTACGAAAGGTACTAAATTTTGGTACAAGTTGGATATAGGTGTACATATAAAGCTGGAATCATGAAATGAGATTTAAAATGACTGTTGGATCGTAGGATTTAATATTTATGGGTACAAAACGATACTAAATTTAGCACAATTTGGATTTTGGGTGAAAATTTGCGATATTTATTGCTGTTTAAGCGTAGAATTGAGATATATCGATACAGTTCTGCAAAATTGTACTTTTGTGTTAGACAAGAGGAACTAAATGTAGAACCTGTGGTTTTTGCTAAAATATTAGGTTGGGGAAAAATAAATCCATTATTTTTATATGCACTATAGACTTTATTTAACATGCTTCTGAATGTCCGATTTGGTCCTGCTATGCACCGTTTTGTTGTATGATTTGTTGCCATTTTAAAGGTAACTTCATAATGCATCTCTCATAGAAGCCCAAAATTTGGTACAATTTGGACTTTGGTGAACGGGTAGAACTCGAATTCTGAAAGTTGCAACTTAGGTTACTGTGGGAGTGTAGGAAAAGTACAGAATGGTACCAAATCTGGAATTCTTAAATTTGGATTTGCGATTACTATTTGAAAGCAGGTTTGAAATATTGAGATAGGTTTGGAATATGGTATCAAATATGGTATAATTTGGTCTTTAATGAACAGACAGAGCAGAAATTCTTAAATTTGCAATTACGATTACTATTTAAAAGCAGAATTGATTTACATTTGGCAATTTGTACTTATGAGTACCAAAAGAACTAAATTTGATGTAGTTTTAGAAATTCTTACTTATGGGTATAAAAAGTACTAAATGGTACTAAATTTGAAACGATTTGGATTTGAATGATTCCTGAGATTTAGAATTCAGATTACTGTTGAAGTGTAGTATTGAGCTATGGAGACAACTGTGGAAACTCGAATTTATGTGTACGAATAGTAAATAGAAAATTTGCGTAACGGAGAGAGCTGGAAACCTACAATGTGGAATGCCAGTGCTGCTAAAGTATTTAATTGGAATTCTGATCTATTTTTAATCTATGTATTGGAAATAAGAAAGAGATTTCGGAAAATAGTGCAGTGTATGAAGAGTACTTAATTGTAATAAACTTGATATTAGATGTAGGAAAAGAGGTGGAATTCAGAACTATAGTACAACAAATTATACACTATTCACGATTTCCATATATATATGTATATATTTGGTATTCCCTTTCCGCATACGAAGTAGCGGGCACTTTGCTAGTGTGTTATATACAGCTATTTCCTTGCAGTAAACACCTGAACCAGTGCCTTCTTCAATCTTTGATGCATATATCGACAGACCAGCCAGAGGTAAGGAGTAATATTTCTTTAATGCCATCGAGGTCATTATGGAAGGGAACATTTTCACTAATGTGAGTGTTTCTATCTAAAAAACCACAATCTGTAATTGTTCAGAGCCGATTGACGCAGACGGAAGTTTGGGATTGTACGTTTTTAGTGAAGAGTACAATTTCTGTCTTCTTGAGGTTTACCTCA